TGATATAGTAGTGTGTATTTGTTACTTAGTCGAAGACGTGTTTCTTTGGTCCGATCTCCTCTTCTATGCCTGTGATTATCCATCTCCTTCCAATTTTCATACCCCTTTTCTGCTCTTTCCTGTATCCGACTGACTATCCAAAAGAGTGTATAAGGAATTTAAAATAATAAAGATCGACATGGCTGTAGTATTAAGAGATGCAATGTTCTAGCATGGGATGGTCTGTTACTTAATTGACATTCTATGTTTTTAACTGGCTAGGAAAATTTTAGGGCTGCTTGTTATACTGACCCAAGCCTTTTGGAATTAATGGTTGTTTGTTGTACTGTTTTTTTCCTTTTGATTGTCACCTTGAATCCTTGATACATGTTTAATAAAGAGTTTTGATTGTAATACTTGAACAAGTGTAATACATCATTTTTACTTTGGTTTTAATTGTTTTCCTTTATTTTGTTTGTTTATTCACTATTGAACTACCATTATACTGTAGTGTAATACATCATTTATACTTTTTTTCTTCATGTAAGAATACTCGGTCTACTGGGTGATTATTCTCATTTTGTCGGTATGCAGTTTTGTAGAGACTTTAGGACCGGCTCAGACCTCAATCACCACACCACGAAGGTAGCTCATCATCCAACCACCAGAGGGCTTCAAAAGGGAAAAGGGGAGGGCAACAGCCACAGCACTCAACCTCACTCTGATGAACCCACCGGAGAAAACCCCCCAAACCCACTGGACAAGAGTGAAGCACCCAAAGGTATTCCCAGGAGACCGTCGGAGGGTGGCCGGAGCACAGCCCTTGACAGTTCCTCTCTCTCTCACTCTAGAACCAGGGCAACACTCTAACCGACTCATCTGAACAAGGAAGAAGAGAGTGGCTGAAATAGGAGAGTCTAGAAGGAACGGGACAAATATACCAAGGGCCACAAGAGTCACGGGCTGGACAAGACAAACAAAGGGGGAGTGGGCTGATCAGGGTAAACAACAAGGAGCAAGTGGGCTGGTCAGGGTGGACAGCCCAACATGGGCCAGAGACATTAAATGTGAATGGGGCCAATACCAACTCACATTCTCCACCTTATTGGCCCCCGGTGGCGTTGAGCATTTTGTGAAAGGGAGTATCATCATCGCCGGTGACTTGTGTACCTGTTCTTATCTAGCCACAATCAATGTTAAGAGTGCGTTTACAAGATAATAATTTTTCAAAAGAAAGACATTTTGTTCCCATATCAGATGGGTTAAACTCTGAGGCAATCTTGCACAACTTCACTTCTCCTTTGTCAACAATATCCCTGATAAAATGGAATCTGACATCAATGTGCTTGGTACGATCATGAAACACAGGATTTTTGCACAACTGGATAGCTGACTGGCTATCAGAGTACACTGTCACAACCTGTCTAAGAAAACCAATTTCAGTTATGATACGTTTCAGCCAAATGGCCTCCTTAAAGGCTTCAGTGGCTGCAACGTATTCAGATTCAGTAGTTGAAAGAGCTACAATAGGTTGCAGTTGAGATTTCCAGCTTATGCAGGATCCACAAAGTGTAAAAATATAGGATGTAGTAGACTTCCTATTATCCCTATCATTAGCATAGTTGGAGTCAACATAACCAGTCAAGGAAATACCAGCAGCAGTATGAGAAAAAATCAGACCATGGTTAATGGTACCCTTGAGGTACCTTAACAGCCATTTTAGGGCATTCCAGTGTGGAAGCCCCGGATTTGCCATGTATCTACTCAGGCAGCTAACAGCATAGGCTATGTCAGGCCTAGTGCTAACCATTAGGTACATAACTGACCCTATTGCACTGGAATAAGGGACAGCATTCATGCTTTTAATTTCAGGGTCAGTCTTTGGGGACTGATCCTTGCTTAAGACAAAGTGAGAAGCCAAAGGCACATTAACAGGAGTGGCAGCATTCATATTAAACTTGCACAAGACCTTTTCAAGATAAGAGACTTGATTTAAGATGAGAGTACACCTACTTCTGTCCCTAATGATGTTAATGCCAAGGATTCTTTTAGCATCACCAAGATCTTTCATAGCAAAATTATCACTTAAACATTTTTGAACATGTTTAATGGCATTAAGGGAAGGACTAATGAGTAGCATGTCATCAACGTAAATGAGCAAGAAAACAGGGATAGACGCAGTATTCTTAAAATACAAACAATGGTCAGAGACAGATTTCCTGAACTTCAAGGAAGACATGCATTGATCAAATTTAATGTTCCACTGTCTAGGGGACTGCTTTAGTCCATACAGTGCTTTCCTAAGTAGGCAGACATACTCACTATTCTTGGGGTCAACAAACCCTTCAGGCTGAGTCATGAAAATCTTCTTATCTAAGTCACCATGCAGAAATGCAGTGGTGACATCCATCTGCTTCATTTCCCAGTTGTTGTGGGCAACAAGGGCTAACATCATCCTGATAGTAGTGAACTTAACTACAGGAGCAAATATCTCAGAATAATCAACACCTTCTTTTTGGGTGAACCCCTTAGCAACTAACCTAGCTTTGAATCTAATGTCATTGGGTTCTTCTTTAACCTTAAAAAGCCACTTACATTCTACCACAGAGCTGTTAGGAGGTCTAGGTACAAGAGTCCAAGTCTTATTTAACCTAAGTGATTCTATTTCACTTTTCATGGCATCCTGCCATTTCTGAGATTCCTTAGAGGCTAGGGCTTCCTTATAAGACTTAGGTTCATTTAGGTCTAGGGTTTCAAAAACAGAGAAGGCAAATAGAGAAGTATCACTGATATGAAAGGCAAAATCAGTCATGCTTTCAGAGATTTTCCTAACTGTTCTTCTACTTCTATCCCTAGCCAATTGATAATTATTCAGAGTGACAGGTTCAACAATGATCTCCTCCAGTTCACTACTGTCATTAGAGTCAGAATTAATCACAGTATCATGCAACATCTCATTATTTTCAGGCTCACTAGAAGGCTCCACCTCATTTGAGATAGAGGAATTTTCAGGGACAGTTTGGGAAATGTCATGACAATCAGGGTCATCATAATTGTATAAATCAACACACAAAGGGTCAGCAGCATTAGGGATAGGCTCCACCTCACTAGGAGACTTCCTAGACTCAGGATCAGGCTGATGAACAGGCTGACTTAGGCAAGGGAAGTCATACTCATTAAAGACAACATTCCTACTGATAATGACCTTAAAACCAATTTGATTTCTATCCCAAACTCTATACCCTTTAACACCTTCAGGATATCCCAGAAAAACCCCCTTTTTAGATCTAGGTTCAAGTTTATCAGTTTGTTGGTGGACATAGACAGAACACCCAAAAACCCTTAAGTTTGACAGATCAATAGGTTTTTCAGAAAAAACAGACTCAGGACATTTTCCCCCTAAGGGTACAGATGGAGACCTATTGATTAGGTAGGAGGCAGTGTTCACAGCTTCTCCCCAAAACTTCTTGGGGAGGCCAGAGGTAGCAAGCATACTCCTGACTTTATCAAGGAGTGTCCTATTCATCCTTTCAGCTATACCATTTTGTTGGGGAGTATAGGGCACAGTTTTGTGCCTTCTAATCCCCCACTCAACACACAACCTATCCATATTTTTATTGCAGAATTCTAAGCCATTGTCAGTCCTTAAGGTCTTAATCCTACAGCCAGTTTGGTTTTCTATCAAGACTTTCCATTCCTTAAACTTAACAAAAACATCAGATTTGTGTTCTAAAAGGAAGACCCAGACTTTTCTAGAAAAGTCATCAATGATAGACAAGAAATAATTTCTACCCCCATGGGTAGGGACACTGGAAGGACCCCATACATCAGCATGTATGTACTCAAGGATAGACTTAGATTTAGGCTCATTAGGGTTTGCAGATGAAGGAAACTTAACCCTATGCTGCTTTCCTAAAACACAACTTTCACAGAAAGGAATTGGGGACACAGAATCATTCCCAAAAACACCAGACTTTTGCAAAATGCTCATACCCTTGTTACTCATGTGCCCAAGTCTATGATGCCAAAGGGCTGACTTGTCAGAATGCACAGAGTTGGCAGAATCAGAAAAAGGTTTTGCATGCACCACATAAAGATTGTTTTCTTTTAAGGCTTTAAATAAAACCAAAGAGTTTTTAAGGATTTTCATGCACCCATTACCCCATTTACCATCAAGCCCACATTCTTCAAAAGCAGCAACTGAAAATAGGTTATGCCTAAGCTCAGGAACATGTCTAACATTTTTTATTGTAAAAACAGTTCCATTTTCAAACTTTAAGCAAATATCACCTATACCATGCACCTTACACTTCTTATTGTCAGCTAGGGACACATAACCAGTGTCACAGACACTGTAAGAAGCAAACAGGGTTTTAAAAGGGGTCATGTGATAGGTGCAACCAGAATCTATCAACCACTCAGTTTCAGTTAAGCTGTCTAGGGCAGAGTTAGCTTGGTCACAGACCATAAAGACTTCATCAACTACTTCTTTAGTGGTCACAGAATTAGCTTGTTCATTCCTTTTAGGCAAGGTGCAATCCTTAATGAAATGACCTGGGTTCCCACAGTTATAACACACTCTTTTCTTACTTTTGTACCTCTTCTTACCTGGATTTCTACTGTTTTTATCTTGGCTGTCTTTCTTAGGGTATCTATGCCTACTTTTAGACCTACCTCTGACAAAGAAAGCTTCACCATTATCCCTAGAATGGTTACTATTACCCCTAGACTGTTTCAGATCAAGCTCTTTGCTTTTTAAACCATTTATGACAATATCTAGGGTAATATCATCTCTGCCATACTTTATGGCAGATTTGACATCATTGTAGGAATCAGGAATAGCATTGAGTAAAACAATTGGGGTGTAATCATCTATATGTTTATCCCCAGCCTGCTTAATATTTTGAATCAACTTATGAAAAATATCAAGATTTTCCTCAATATCTTTAGTTAGGTCAAGCCTAAACCTAAAGAATTTTTCAAGCAAAAACAGTTTTCCTGGTAAGGAGGTGTCAGTGTATAGGGATTCCAATTTATCCCATAAAGCCTTAGCAGATTCAATGATTCCAACTTTTCTAAGGACAGAGTCAGAGAGGTTCAAGTAAATGGTGGAACAGGCAGTCTCATTCATTTCTAATTGCTTGGGTTTATCCTCAGTATCTAAAAATTTATCAGTTACAGCCCTATAAACCTTTTGTTGTATCAACACACACTTTATCTTCTGTTTCCAGATGTCAAAGTCAGTTTTACCATTGAAAGGAAGCATGCCATACACATTGGAAGACATGGTAAACAACAATTCACAAGGTAAATGAGCCTAGAGTAATACAAGGCTTAGCCCTAGCTGGTTAGGCTGCGGACTAAGGAACCACGCAGATCCGGGGCCACTGAGGTGGCTGGCAGGGAATCCCTTAGCCCTAACCTCAAGTGCCTAACCCAACTAGGTTATTATGCCACAGTATTACCAAGGATCAAAAACCAACACAGGTAAAAGAACAGACTGGAAACAGATAAAGGCAAGACAAGCAAGATTCACAGGGGGGTTAATAAATCGAAGATCACACAGATGAGCCAGTGGAACACACAGATACTTCAAACAATCACAAAGATAATGGTGGTCCAAGTACGACACGGATTGGCACCACTCATACACAAATTCATCAACCTAGGGTTTCTGCAGAGCTGACTAGACAGTGTCTGCACATACCAAGATGGCTCTAGGGTTTCTAACCGGCAAACCAGTAACCTAGGGTTACAGATTAACCCATGCAACACAGATACCGGTGGCACTCCGGCAGCCCAAGAGTCAGGGTCAAGTTTTTATACCTGAGCGGAAGTCCAGGTGGAACTGTCCGACTTACCAATGCAGCGGAAGATTCTGGAGTCGAGGCGTTACCAGGCGGGAGGACTTCCGGCAGGGTTCCGATGAGGAGAGGCAGCGTCCGCGGCTCTGATACCACTGTAGAGACTTTAGGACCGGCTCAGACCTCAATCACCACACCACGAAGGTAGCTCATCATCCAACCACCAGAGGGCTTCAAAAGGGAAAAGGGGAGGGCAACAGCCACAGCACTCAACCTCACTCTGATGAACCCACCGGAGAAAACCCCCCAAACCCACTGGACAAGAGTGAAGCACCCAAAGGTATTCCCAGGAGACCGTCGGAGGGTGGCCGGAGCACAGCCCTTGACAGTTCCTCTCTCTCTCACTCTAGAACCAGGGCAACACTCTAACCGACTCATCTGAACAAGGAAGAAGAGAGTGGCTGAAATAGGAGAGTCTAGAAGGAACGGGACAAATATACCAAGGGCCACAAGAGTCACGGGCTGGACAAGACAAACAAAGGGGGAGTGGGCTGATCAGGGTAAACAACAAGGAGCAAGTGGGCTGGTCAGGGTGGACAGCCCAACATGGGCCAGAGACATTAAATGTGAATGGGGCCAATACCAACTCACAAGTTTGAGATTGTCGTCTAAGTCCAGTCAGGCTTTCCGCAAGGAGTAGATATAGATAAAGACAATCCCTTGCTTCTAAGGTTCATCCAATTTTGTTGTTGTAGTTTTGCAAGTATGCTTCTCATCTGTTTTTGCATTTTATGTATCTCCTTGAGTTTTTGCACTCATGCTCTGTTTGGTTGTGTATAAAAATAGAGAAGAAAGAAACAGGGAGTAAGAAAAAAATATGATTTTTTTTGTTATAATAGAAATTTGATAGAAAAGAGAAATAGAAGAGATTATAGGGGAGGTTGTTTGTTAGAAGGCAAAAGTTATCCTGAACTCTTAAAAGATGCAATGAAGAGAAAGTAAAGTTTAGGGTCAAATTGATAGTTAAAGGTAACTGTGAGGCCATCTTTTTTACGTCAATGAAGGAAAACAAAAAAGTGGCAGGGCTAACTCTTCCATTTTCTTCTCTTTTTCAGTTTTTCCCTCTCATCTCTATTTCTCTACTTCTCTTTGCAACTAAACAACGAGAATCCCAACTCTCTCCCAGTTTCCCTCCTACTTCTCTCTCCCCTATTACACTTAGCAAAAAGATCCTTATCCTTTCAAGTTTGTGATATTAAGAATACTTGACCATTGTACCTATCTGCTATCTTTTTCTATCCTTTTCAAACTTGTCATTTCCTGTATCAATTTTTAGATACTGTTATTATTACATCCTGGGCTCTAGCCGTGTCTTTCAAAGACTTACTATACATTGTGTTTTTTATGTGTGTGACTGAGGATAGAATAAAAAACAATTAACAAGAGATATATCTGTTCTGTTGCAACTGAACCAGTAGTGCCTATGAAAGTTGAGGAATTTAAGATGGAAGGACCAAAACAAGTTTTTCTCAAGGATTACAAGCAGCCCGACCACTACTTTGATACGGTATGTAAAATTACACCCTCATTCCCTCCAATTTTTTTCTACTGGTGTAGTTTAGATAGCTTTGTGCTCATAGAAGTCCTATCATATATATAGTTGGTTTCTTTGTTCTTTTCAATTTCTTGTTTTATATATAACAAGGTCCATGGTCAAGTATTCTTTTCAGTCACTTTTTTGTTTTTATAACAAGAAATGCATAATCCCGTTTGCCAAAATAGTGTTTTTATTACCCATTTTTATGTATGTTTGCATTTAATATGGTATCAGCCAAACATTAAAGATCCTCTGCAAGTAATAAATATTATATAATATTATTTATTTATTTATTTATTTATTTATTTATTTATTTATTTATTTATTTATTTATTTATTTATTTATTTATTTATTTATTTATTTATTTATTTATTTATTTATTTATTTATTTATTTATTTATTTATTTATTTATTTATTTATTTATTTATTTATTTATTTATTTATTTATTTATTTATTTATTTATTTATTTATTTATTTATTTATTTATTTATTTATTTATTTATTTATTTATTTATTTATTTATTTATTTATTTATTTATTTATTTATTTATTTATTTATTTATTTATTTATTTATTTATTTATTTATTTATTTATTTATTTATTTATTTATTTATTTATTTATTTATTTATTTATTTATTTATTTATTTATTTATTTATTTATTTATTTATTTATTTATTTATTTATTTATTTATTTATTTATTTATTTATTTATTTATTTATTTATTTATTTATTTATTTATTTATTTATTTATTTATTTATTTATTTATTTATTTATTTATTTATTTATTTATTTATTTATTTATTTATTTATTTATTTATTTATTTATTTATTTATTTATTTATTTATTTATTTATTTATTTATTTATTTATTTATTTATTTATTTATTTATTTATTTATTTATTTATTTATTTATTTATTTATTTATTTATTTATTTATTTATTTATTTATTTATTCATTCATTCATTCATTCATTCATTCATTCATTCATTCATTCATTCATTCATTCATTCATTCATTTATTTATTTATTTATTTATTTATTTATTTATTTATTTATTTATTCATTTATTTATTTATTTATTCATTTATTCATTGATCCATTTATTCATTCATTTATTTTATTTTATCGTTGCATGTCGACATCCTTCTAATTTATGCTTTTCTGAAATGCTGTTCAGGTGAATTTGAATTTTTCACTAGGTGAGGAGAGAACAATTGTCTCTTCTAAAATTACTGTCATCCCCAGAGTTGAAGGTAATTTTTTTAATTTTCTTTCTTGGTTTTGACATGAGTTTCTGGTTATGGCCTTATGGGTTGAAGTCCTTGATGAAATGTTGGCAATGTTGGATGACCACAATAAGCTTCTAAAACATCTTGCAAAGTTTCAAAGCCTAAACTTCTACATCATTGAATGTTTCCGTTCATTTTAGTCTGAAAAGCAATATGTATCATTTATTCATTTAAATCAAATATATTATTAATTTATCTTAAACAGGTGGCAGTTCATCCCCACTTGTTTTGAATGGACATGATCTGAAGTTGCTTTCCATACTTGTTAATGGCAATGCGCTGAAGGTATAGTACACACACTCACTAGAGTTAAGAATTCTTCAGATCATTAAAACATTTGTATCAGTGGATGTTCACAACATTTCTATAGAATCTGTCGCTGCTAATTTGGTTGTTCAAATGCTTTACTTGATATGCCAGGAAGCAGATTTTCACTTGGACTCGAGGCAATTGACTATTGCTTCACCCCCTAGTGGCAAGTTCACTTTGGAAATTGTTACAGAAATATATCCGCAGAAAAACACATCATTAGAGGTGAAATTATCTTTTTCTGATGTAGAGAAATTATATATGCTTTGGACACCTCATCTTTCCTGTTCTTATTTAGAGTATGTAAATAAACAGGGTCTTTACTGGTCATCTGGTAACTTCTGCACACAATGTGAAGCTGAAGGTTTTCGTAAAATTACGTTCTATCAGGTAAATCTTCTATAAACATCAATTGATTGATAATTAATGTCAACATGCTTCCACATTCACTGTTCTTTATTTGTGTGTTGCTTGCATTCATTAGGACCGTCCTGATATTATGGCAAAGTACACTTGTCGCATCAAAGCAGAGAAATCCCTGTATCCTGTGTTGTTATCTAATGGAAACCTTGTTGAGCAAGGAAATCTAGAGGTCAACATGAAGTAATACTGAACCTATTATTTGTACAAAGGCTAATTTGATGTGCATTGAGGAGGAGGCAGCTTCTACATTTTTTGAACTTTTTCCAATTGTTTCCATTTAAAGCAGGGAGGAAGACATTACGCCATTTGGGAGGATCCTTTCAAGAAACCTAGTTATCTCTTTGCATTGGTTGCTGGACAGCTGAGTAGTAGAGATGACTCATTTATGACTCGCTCAGGCAGAGAGGTCTCCCTTCGTATTTGGACCCCTGCACAGGATTTGCCCAAGACAGCACATGCTATGTATTCTCTTAAAGCAGCCATGAAATGGGATGAGGATGTTAGTTTTCCAGTCATGTTTGGCGTTGTTTTACTTATGTTCTTAGTTCTTGTCTGTTGTCATTGTCTTTTCTTTCAATGTCATGAAACAGGTGTTTGGTCTTGAATATGACTTGGATCTTTTCAATATTGTTGCCATACCAGATTTTGACATGTTAGTAACTTTCTATTCTCATACGCAGTGTTTGTTTTGTCATAACTTCTCTAGATTCCTAATATTTTTCTGTTTTTTTGGCAGGGGAGCAATGGAAAACAAGAGCTTGAATGTATGTTTTCCTAAGAATACGTTATGAGATTGAAAAAGTTTTGATGGGGTAACAAACAGTCACGTGAACATGTCCGGTTTGTTGTTAACAGATATTCAATTCCAAACTTATCTTGGCTTCTCCTGAAACTGCAACTGACGGAGATTATGCTGCAATTCGGGGGGTTATTGGGCATGAGGTATTTCCTACACTATCAAATTATCACTCTTAATGCAAACATATATTTAAACCTTATTGATTTCTTTCGATGTTTTTCAGTATTTCCACAACTGGACCGGTAATAGGTGGGCTTGTATCTTCCATTCTTGATAGAATGTTTTTTTAATCCCTGTAAACTAGTTCAGCTCATTTTTGTTTACTTAATTTTTATGTTAGAAAAAGTTTGAGCTGGTTTTAAATCTTTCCATATCTTTGCCAAAAGAGTTGTTTCTACTTTCGGCTCTCTACTATTTCCTTATTTTGCTATTTTACTTCTGATCCTCGAGTACAATATCGGCATACCTTCCAAAGTAATGCAATGATGCTCCCACAGAAAGTGAAGAATCAAAACTGGAATGAACTCTATATTGAATCAGTCCTATGCTGTATTAAGCTCTGAAGATGATATCTAGACTAACAGTGAACTTGAACAGAGTGACATGTCGTGACTGGTTCCAGCTTAGTTTGAAGGAAGGTCTTACAGTGTTCCGTGAACAGGTAGATAGTTTCATACATATGAGTATGTGTGTTTGTGTGTACATATAAATATAAGGAGTATGTTATATTTATCTCTGCATATGTTAATTTGCTCTTAGGCTAATATTATAAGATACTACCTCTCCCATAATGTAAGATGCATTTGAGTTTGGTGCAGGTTTTAAGAAAATAAAGGATAAAGTGATTGTTTTACAATTCTAACCTCCAAAACGTAAGAAAGAGAAAAATGGATCTAGAGGGTGAAATGATAGATAAAGGGATAAAGTGAGAAAGTAAAAAGTTAGTGGAATCCAATTTAAGAAAGTGTTCATATTTTTGGAACAACCAAAAAGGAAATAGGACAGGGGGAGTCTTAATGAGAAATTTTCCTCATAATATTTTGTATGCGCGCAATAGGAATTTTCATCTGATATGGGAAGTCGTACTGTGAAGAGGATTGCTGATGTTTCAAAGCTTAGAATGTATCAATATCCTCAGGTATTTTATTTGTAAGTTAATATACAGTATACATACAATCACCTATTCTTCAATCCCTAAGTATTGAAATTTTCCTATCATAACATCGAATTATGCATGTTTTGGGGGTGATCGTTAAGGATGCGGGTCCCATGGCTCATCCTGTGCGGCCTCACTCATATATCAAGGTCTGGAATTCAAATTATATACCAGTCCTGTAATTTTTGAACTTTTTTTATATACAGTATACACACAATCAACTATTCTTCAATCCCTTTTCATCAAGTAACAGCTTCTAACTTTGCTCACTTCACTCTTGCATGAAACCTTGGCAGATGGATAACTTCTACACTGGTTAGTCATCATTAAATTTCACTTCCTTTTTCTTGGTTAATAGTATCATTATTTCTTTTACAATCCGGAAGCTTACTAATGGATTGATTTTCGACTTTGGTTGTTACATGAACATGTGTTTCTTGGTTTCTGGTCTGGATATCTTGAAACTTTCAGCAACGGTATTATTACCTTAGGAATTTTGCTCGCATTGTATAATTAATACTTTGGATTCTATTTTATTTTCCTGAGGTGACTTGTACACTGAATTTGTTGGGACTGCTTTTCTACAGGTGTATGAAAAGGTATTGTTTTTTCTTTTGCCCTGCTTGTCTTGCTCTTGTGTGTGTTTTTCTCATGTTAATCTGTAATTTTAAACATGGTCACTTTTTATTCACACACATTTATGAATCAGGGGACTGAAGTTGTCAGAATGTACAAAACCTTGCTGGGAAGTGAAGGATTCAGAAAAGTAAGAAGAATATGATGAAATCATAATCCAGATTATCTCTTCTTCACACATGATCCTTTTAGCCTTTAATAAGCATTGCTTTTGTATTTCAGGGAATGGACTTATATTTCAAGAGGCATGATGGACAAGCTGTAACTTGTGAAGACTTTTTTGCAGCAATGCGAGATGCAAATAATGCAGACTTTGCTAACTTTTTGTTATGGTATTTAAGTAATCATTGTCCTTATTTTTCTCTTAAGTTGGTAGGTTCTGTGTCAAACATTTTAGATCTAATGCATTGAACTTTTAGGTACTCTCAAGCTGGAACCCCTCTCATAAAGGTTGCTTCTACTTATAATGATGATTCTCATACTTATTCTCTAAAGTGCAGGTATAATTTTTAAGTTTATTTTCTATACGTTAAATTAGTAAATAAATGTATTTGCTGATCATATCTGAGTTAATATCTTCATAGCCAAGATGTCCTTCCCACGCCCGGGCAGACTTCAAAAGAGCCAATGTTTATTCCTATTGCGGTAGGTCTGTTAGACTCAAGCGGTAAGGACATACCTTTGTCATCAGTGCACTCTTCTGGGAGGTTGGAAAGTATTAGCACTGGCCAACCAGTCTACACTACAGTTCTTAGGCTAACAAAGGTCAGTTAGTATTGTAGGTTATTCATCCAATATTACTGATTTAGTCATGTTGGGTGCGACTAAAATTGATATTGAAAAGGAAAAGCATTTTACGCATTTTAGCATTTTATCTATCTAGCTAAATTCATTTTACATTGAAATTGTTATCTTAACATTTTGCTTTCATGCAATATAAATCATCTTGTGTTTAATGTGCAGAAAGAAGAAGAGTTTGTGTTCAATGACATACAGGAGAGGCCTGTCCCATCTATACTACGGGGGTTTAGTGCCCCCATCAGACTTGAGTCTGATCTTACTGATGCAGATCTATTTTTCCTTCTCGCTCATGACTCTGATGAGTTCAACAGGTAGGTGATAACTCTAATTATCCTTCAGTAAAAAACGATTTTAGATAGGCTGCACATGGCTTTCCATTTTGTAGATGGGAAGCCGGACAGGTTTTGGCAAGGAAGTTGATGATCAAGCTTGTGGCTGATTTACAGCAAAACAAGTCCTTGTCTCTTAACCCGCAATTTGTGCAGGGAATAAAAAGCATCCTTAATGATTCGAGTTTGGACAAGGTTTGAATATTCTTATACTTTCTCCAAGTTTTTATTTTTAAAAAAGCATTTTTTGGATACATATATATGAGAAATGTGTTTTTTTTTAATTTAAAATTCTATTCGTCTTTATTTTATCAACACATAAGTTATTAGGATGTTTTCTTTTGGACTGAAATTTGCTGGTCTGGTCTGAACTGGTCTGGTAAACGTCTGGTCTCTGTGTATTTTATAACTACGGAAGTCTGGTCTGGTCTGGGACTGGAAACAGTCCAATAGAAAACATCCTTATTCAGTTATATAATCAGTTTAAAGAAATTAAAAAACTATGTGACTATCGTTAAGCAGTTGGGCAGTACAATTAAGCTGTTGTAAATTGCTGCATCTTTGATCGTTGCAGTTGAAAAGAGATTTTCTAACATGGTGAACTACAGGAATTCATTGCAAAGGCAATAACTTTGCCTGGGGAAGGAGAGATCATGGACATGATGACTGTGGCTGACCCTGATGCTGTTCATGCTGTTAGAACCTTCATTAGGAAGCAAGTCGCTGCTGAACTAAAAGAAGACCTTCTCAGAACGGTATAACCATGCAAAACCATAAAGCCTAATCAGTTTTTTATTTTTTTATTTATTTCATGTTGATAGTATGAGCTCTCAACAATATTTAACCCAGATTGTTATCTGCAGGTCAAAGATAATAAGAGCTATCAACAATATGAATTTAATCATCGTGATATGGCGAGGCGTGCTCTAAAACAAATTGCTCTTGGTCCGTGGTAAAGTTTTACCTGTTTTCAATGGTTAGTGTAATCGAGTGATCTGATTTAGTAAGTACCATTACATTCCATTGCTTACAGAGTATCTCGGGTCACTTCAAGGCCCAGAGATTGTCGAGCTGCTTTTGCACGAGTATAAAGCTGCAGCAAATATGACAGATCAATTTGCTGCTCTGGTGGCTATTGACCAGCAGCATGGTCAAACTCGGGATGAAGTTTTGGCCGATTTCTATGATAAGTGGCAGCATGACTTCTTGGTATGTTTTCCTTTCTTTTTTGGATGTGCTTATTATAAAAGCGGTTCCACTAGTTAACATGGTAACGTTTAGAAATATAATCACAAAGTACTTGCTTGGGATTTCCAAATACTCTCTCTCTCTCTCTCCCATTTTGTAAAATACACTTTCTTTTTTGGTTGTCCCAAAAATATGAACACTTTCTTAAATTCGATTCCACCCAACTTTTTACTTTTTCACTTTATCCCTTTATCTATCATTTGATTCATTTCACCCTCTATATCCATTTTTCTCTTTCTTACGTTTTGGAGGTTAGAATTGTAAAACAATCACTTTATCCTTTATTTCTTAAAACCCGCATCAAACTCAAATGCATCTTACATTATGGGGCGGAGGTAGTAGAATGTTCAAGAATTTTTTTTGGAAAAAGCACCAATCAAGTGTTTCTTTTGAAGAACTTTTTTTAGTGCGCTTTTTAGTCATTTAAAAGAATATTTGGAAGCACGAATAGCTCTTTATGCATTATTTTGTATGTGCAGGTTGTAAATAAATGGTTTAGCCTCCAAGGTGCATCAACCATTCCTGGTAATGTTGAAAATGTAAAGAAACTGTTGAACCACCCAGCCTTTGACCTGTGCAGTCCAAACAAGGTCTTTTTTTCACCATGGTTTGTAAAGCTTTTGTTCCATAAATTCCAATCAAACTCGTGACATGTTCACAATTTGATTCTGATGGTAGGTGTATTCATTGATTGGAGGATTTCGGGGATGTGCTATTAACTTCCATGCAAAGGATGGTTCAGGCTACAGATTCTTAGGAGAACTTGTGGTGCAGCTTGACAAACTTAATCCCCAGGTCTGGTCACTATAGTTATTCAAGTATCTTTTAAAATCGACCCTTAAAGAATCAAATTCCGGATTAAAGGTATATAAAGAAAATCAAGACCACGTTACCATGAAAAGCTGGCCTTCTGTGAAACAATTCCATATCGTAATCCTTTAAAGTTGAAAAACTAGTTTTCTTATGAAAAGTATTACTTTCAACTTCTAAAGTATTATGTTTGGACCCTTCTCACCATGAAATGGTTTCTCACAAGTTTGGGTTTTCTACAATGAATATGCAAATACAGATGGCTTCCAGGACGGTGTCAGCCTTCTCCAGGTGGAAGCGTTATGATGAAACCAGACAAGCTCTTGCCAAGGTAACCCCCTAACAGAGTTGATTTCTTTTGACACACACGCACACACTAATAAGCTCCCCGCGTAAAAACAATGCTTAAAAAAACACAAAATTTCCCATTTCAAACTTTTATTATTGTAGTGGTGTTTTTATTAAACAAAAGCACTAAGCGTGAGATGATAATATACAGGCACAGTTGGAGATGATCTTGTCAACTGAAGGGCTCTCGGAGAATGTATTTGAAATTGCTTCAAAGAGCTTAGCTGCCTGATCAGTATTAAAAAAAACTTAGCTGCCTGATTTTATTGTGGATTTTGTCAATTTTTTCTTTTTCTTCCTGAACCAGTAGCTCAACTGTCTCTATGCTTGCTATGAATCTACAATATCATGTAGAAAGATTTCAATCTATAATTGTTGCTAGCCTCTATAATTTTAGAAAACTTTTTGTCTTTTAATTACATGAAACTTATTAACTAGAAGGGAAAAGTACGGTTGGGCCCGTTTTGAAATAGGTTCTTGTGTTCCATTTCGTAGAAAATTAGGTCATGTGTTTCAATTTCATTATCATAGGAGGGGCCTGACGCTATCGGTGTTAGAAATCGAGGGAGATGATGAACAGTAACCCCAATTTTATAAAATGTTCGAAAAATGAAAAATAAAAAAAATATTGGGAGGTACATCTCGTCAAAGAGACCTCCAAACCATCTCCCTCTTTGGTTTTTCGGATCTGTTTTGATTAATTATTTTTTTCAAAAAGAATTCACTTATGTCACCACTCCAGTGGACTTTCCAGTGACAAGAGTGATCGAAAACAAAAAAGAAAGATGTCTTAGAGGTCCCCTTGATGGGGTGCACCTTCAAGTATTTTTCTTTGAAATTTCTGAGCACTTTTGAAAATCAGAGTTAGTGTTCATTGTCTTCCTCCGGCGATTTTTAACGACGTTAGGCATCAAGCCCCTCATGTGATAACGGAAATTGAACACATGATATACTTTGTTAAGAATTGAAATACATGACTCTATCTGAAAACGGACCCTAACCAAAGGTACCTTTTTCGTAGTTTTCCCTAATTAGAATTTGAATTACATGATTTTTGTTTTGATATATCATTTTTATACTTAATTATTTATTCCGGAATACTTTACAATTACCATTTATTGAAGTTTTACCACTCCTGAAAGCGATTGCTTCTACTTTTAAGCGGTGATTGCGGAGAAAGTGTTTAATTGTAAAATTGGATTGTGTTTGAGAAAAAAGTATTTTTAAAAAATAGAAGTTGATGATGTTCGATAAAAAGTGCTTTTTATGTACGGAGTAATAGAAACTAGTTATGATCTTATTGAGATCTAAGTGTCGTGGTTTCTGGATTAACTCGTAGTCGTCTCCCTCTCATATGGTTTGGAGAACTTCATGCATTTTTTTGTTTTTCTTCGGCAAAGTACGGATAGTGATGAGTGTCCTTGATACCAACCGAGTTCCAAGTGAGGTAAAAGTCTAGAGGGGGGTGAATAGACTTTTTAAAATCTTGTCTGTTTTGATCCCCTTTTCCTCTAACTGGATGTGTTTCAATATCTTTTGAGAGATATTGATACATGCAATGGAAGTCTTGACCTCAAGAGGATGACACTTTATAGGAACAAAAGTTATGACTCTTTTAGTTATGAGACAGATGGATTAAACATTGAGCAAATGTGTTTGCCAGAAACAGATGACTCTAGGAGCAGGTTGGCGAAACCTGGAGGAGATGGCTGCTAGAAAGCTTTGGGAGCTGACTGCCAATCCTTAGGAGCTGACTGCCGAAATAGTCTTTTTGTTTGTTTAGTTAAAGTATAGCAATGAACTTTACTCTAACCACTTAACTGACTTTAGAACTAGTCTAACACAAGAGTATGGAGGATTTAGACCAATGGAGATAGGTCAATTTGAAGAACAGATAACAAGGAGATGACTCACAGTGAACTGGGAAAGTTCATTGGACAGTTTAAGTGAGCAAGCTGTTTTACTTGTGCCGTTGTGAAGGTGAGTGAGAACTGAAATAAGTGTTAGGTGCAGAATGTAAAGATGACACACGGTGTATCCTGGTTCAGGGGTGGTGTAATCCCCCTACATCCGGTCCCAACCTATTTCAGATAGATTTTCACTAAATGTATATCCCATTACATTTAGTACCCAATCTACCCTTGGCCCAGGCGTAGATTGTGAGGTTTTTCACAAGGAACTTAAACACCGTTCCAAGCTACTCATGTCCTCCCAAGGTTTTTCACTAATGGCATTGACTCGCCAAGAGTTACTCATGTCCTTGCCCTTTCTCACCTTCTGGATTTGATCACCAAGCTTTTCAGAATGTCTAACACTAGTCTAGATTACATGGGTGTAATATCTAAACTACCAACTAGTCTAAGCTCTATTGATTTGTATGAATTGTAACTAGTCTAAGAGCATTATACGACTGGGGTGGCGGCCTAAGTGTAGAAGGAAAATCAGCTGGCTGGATTTGAGCGTGTAGAGTGTGATTTCCTTCTATCCACTTGGTTCCTTTGTTTTTTCCACTTGTTCACCACTTTGTGTGAACGACCACCTTGTTGTTGACTACACATGGTAATCCCACACTCCTTCTGTATTTATAGACTTGATCACTTCATCTTCACCGTTGGCTGAGAAAATGAATCTTGACCGTAGCTTGATCTACTTGCTTTGTTCCACTTGACTGAGGCAACATGGTTATCTGTTATCACGTAGTGACACAGATCAACAATCTTCAGCTCAATTTGATTACACATTTCAATGCAAGATAAAAGATAATTTATCTTTTATTTTCCTACGTAGAAACTAGTATAAAACTGAGTGATATTTCAATGCTACCTTAAAATGAACGAACACTTGCTTTTGTAAAATAAATTTATAAGAAATTTATAACGTGATAAAAACCTCTTATAAATTTACTTTTTAACAATTTGTTCTTTTGTCTGCAAGTTGGTCTTTTGTATAAGTGTTTTGTGCCAAGAGAAGAGAGAATTGGATTTTGGATGAGTTAACTTGAAAAACTCAATTTTCAGCTGGCTGCCAAGCATTTCAGTTGGCTGCCCAGAAATCAGCTGACTGCTGATTTCTGGAGTTTTTCAGTTAACTTAATCCTAACTATGAATACCAGTTAACTCTTTTCGTACCTTTTCTCTTTTTAATCTTTTCCTTTTCTTTTGTTTTATGGTACGTTTAACTTCTTTTTTTAGTACTCTTTGCTTTTTATGAGTACTTTACCACTAAATATGGGGCACATTACAATTACATAAAGTAGAACATAATAGTAGACTAGTCTAATACATGAATAATAAAAAGGGGTGGCATCATCAAAACTATTGCATTATACATCAAAATCTAGGGGACCTAACAGATAGGGTCGACTTGAATAAACGGCTTCAACATTAGGGCTGTGGTATTCCTATTTCGACGGCGAAACAGACTGTAGGTGAGATTCTACTCGATTAGGCAAGGAGTCGATCGGGACAGAAGGGATGGAAGATGTAGTGAACAAATACGATAACATGGCCATTGGTGGGGACCGGAGATGAGGAGGAACTAGTCTTCGACGAGGAGATTGACGGCAACAGAGAGGCATCGGAACACAAGGCTATTTTTCCAGTTATGGGCACTCTCATGGACAGGATGGTGAGGTTTCAGGTGCTCATGGATCTTATAGCTTTGTTGTGGCGTCCAGGAAAAGGGATCTCAATCAAAGAAATCGGAGAAAAAAAGGTATTTGTTCACTTTTTATCATATTGTTGATATGGAACGTGTTCTCGAAAGTGGCCCGTGACAGTTTCAACAGAATTTGCTGATACTCATGGAAATCCAACCAGGAGATATCCCCCTTAAGCTTCCTCCAAGGATGTTTTTACTTGAACTATTTTCAGTCCCAGATCAAACTAGACCGGTTCAGACCAGATCAGAGTTGGATAGTTATAGAATACACAGAGAACATACATTTACCAGACCAGATCAGACCAGCAAATTTCAGTCCAAGTAAAAACATCCTAAATGAGGCTGAATTTTGGGTCCAGTTGCATAATGTACCTTATGGTTTTATGAACCTATAGGGATGACTAGAAGAATTGGTAATTTTATGGGTAAATTTATCAGTTTTGATGAAAGTGAATTTGAAAAAAATTGGGAATCCTATATGAGGATTAGGGTCTGTTTGGAGGTGGGAAACCCATTAAGGGTTGGCACGACTCTTAGGAAAGGGTAAGGAGATGGCCACTAAGTGGATATTGGACACGCTGATAGGTTATTGATTTGCTTTCTAGCTTATGCTTTGCTTGTGACGTTATTGGATATGCTAATAGGTTCTGCCCTTTGACATATGAGTGTAAAAATAAAGTTTTAGATAAACCATATGGGGTGGGTCTCCGAGTCGGGGGGGGGGGGGGGTCCCAGAAGCATCATCAGTAGGTAGGGGCTCTCTCGAAAGACAGAATTGGATACTCACTGTGGCGGATCCCAGCAAGAATAAACCTGAGAGGCGAAAGCATCAACTACATAAGAGACCCCGAGTGAGCAGAAATGCATGAGGGTGTAGGAGGAGAAGGAGCATGGGGAACAGAGTGGTGATAGCATGATTCTGGATGAACCAAAAAACGGAGAGGAGGTGGGTCTTGGTCACCAGACCCGCTGGGAGTTCTGAAGAAGTTTTATGGCAATAAAAGGCAGGGGGAGGTCCTCGTGATGCAAGTTTGAGATATACTCATGGTTTTAACAAAACTCTTTATATAAAGTTTGAGATATATATATTATATGTGCAAGTTTGGGGTACCTATGTCACACCTCTTGAAAATTAAGATATTTAAATTATTTCCTCCATTATAAACAATATAAAAAGTTAATATTTTAGAAATTTACATTAATAGAAATTGGAAGAATAACTTTAATAATATAACCTCCGCCCCCTAATATTGGGACAAAGGTGAGTGATGCGGTTCTTAAGAAAAGCAGAGTTACATAATTAATAATGAATTGATAAAGTGAGAATAAAGTAAGAATGAATCAAATGTACACAAATATTATCAAATATATACTAGTATAAGACAAATTTAATGGGATAGACGAAAAAAATAAGACAATTATAGCGGGACAGAGAGAGTATAAACTATCATCCATAAATCAATAACAATACATACTTTGAAAAATGAATTTTTAATAATACCAACTATTTGAATATAAAAAGAATAATACAGAGTCACTTTTGACATTAAATATGGTCATTTAAGACATCAAAAATTGACGGTAACCCATCAAAGAAATGATATTTGAATATACATTCACTTAATTATTAGATATTTTGATACAAGTTTTTGATGAGTGAAATGGTTGAATTTTTAGTACATATTTCTTTATATAACTTTTGGTTTATATTTATATAGTTGGTATTATTAAAAT